AGCCACAACAGTGTGAATTCCTCAGGGAGGTGCCAGTCTCATCCTCTTGCTCCTCCCACGCTGTTCTGGCGAGCTACGAAAATGTTTATCTCCCTGAGCCTGGCCTTCATAATTCCATTCCATCACAATAACTAACTCATAAAGGTCTTTTTCATGTACAGAAATGTGGTTTTATTGTATATGGAGCCAAACAAATAAGTATTAAGTATCTTACAATATATTAATTGAGAAGGCTGTGTTCAGATAAGGATCTAGAGGAATGCTTCAAACGCAATAACATTTTTAATAGAACTGGATTATCCAGTCTGACTGTTCTAATTGACCAAATACATTTTGCAATACATTTGCTTTGAAACTAATGGTTCCTCTATACACATGTCAATGTGCCTTCCTGTTCCCATCCCTCTTACCGCACTTCTCCAGCAAGGCTGGTAGTTGGTGCTGGATCAGAAAGTAACATGTGTTACTTCCTGTGCTGTGACTGCTTTTTCTGGGTTGGGAAAGAAATGGCTCTTGCAGGCCTGTGCTGCTTTTTCCCAGCCCCAAAGTAACGATCTCCTGGATGGGGAACAAGCAGCAGGCAGCATTTTCTCTGCTGCAAGTGCTGCGTTGACAGCCCACTCCCCACCTTTCCTTCCCCCACTGAGATACCCTCCCCTGAACTTGCACTGGAAAAGGAAGGTGTCAGCCCTTAGAGGGATCCAGGCAAGAAGCACCAACCATGATTCCTAACACCACCTTTATTGTAAGGTCACAGTAACAGAATCTTGCAAGTCTGAAAGTGCATCTCTCTCCACTCGCCTTTACAGCCCAAAAAACTAGGGAGGGTCCTTCTGAGACGTTTGACAGGCCCCCATTGCTTCTGAGGGCTCAGCTGCCTCTTATTTGACCATCACCTAGTCTGCGGTTCCTCTTCCTGCTGTCTCTCAGGGACGTTTGGACAGATCAGCACAGAAAGTCTCTGCTGCTTTTTCATTCTTTCCTGCTGCAAGCACTGTATCCAGCAGGCTCTTTCAAACCTTTCCCTATGCTTTCTTACCTTCAGGTTTTTGGGAAGACTGCTGGGGCCCAGTGGGCTGGGAGGCCAGAGGTGTCCACAGGAGCGGGGGGCAAACAGTGAACCCAGCATAGCAACTTCTGCCCCTTTTGAAAGTATACTGTGACACTGCACACATGGACAAAAGGGGCAGAACATGCACACTGTTTTCCTCACATTGGCAAAAGCCTCATATCCTGCAAAAGCCTCTGGGGGAGATTCCGCTTCCCAAGTCTTACTGCCCTTGAAGTGAGAGGCTTCCAGACATCCTTCTCCCTCCAATGGCCCTACCACCTACACATTTTTGCCACTGTGTTGTACCTCCTGCAGCATCCGGTGCCCCCAACCTCCAAGAGGAAAAAACTGGGGGCCAATCCAGGGCTGCTGAGGGAGGGCAAGTGCTCAGCTCTTCAAGGTGCCCCCTTGGCCATGCCAGCTGGTGTCTATGCCACTACCACTGCATCCTTCTTTCCCTGGACTCATTGCTGCCTCTTTCCCTTAGCCCAAAGCCAGCTAAGTTATTTTGGCACAGGAGGCAAAAAGTTCCAGAAGTATCCACATCCATATGCAATAAACCAAATGGTCAGCAATTTTCTACCTCTTCAAGACATTGCAAATTACAATGCACTTGCAATATCATTGTTAGCAATAAGTACAAGAGGTTTCCTCAGTGGAATCTCTTGCCTCTTATTCTTTATCAGAGCACAGAATTAAAACCAGAAATATCCAAATTACTTACATTGTATAGTGATCCGATCAACAAGTAATCATTATAATATATACAATTAACTATTATATTATATTATATTATATTATATTATATTATATTATATTATATTATATT